AGAGGCTGGTCTTGAACTCCTAGCCTCAAGCAATCATTCTGCCTTGGCTTCCAAAAGCTGGGAGGTGTTTTAACTGTGTTTTCTTAGGTTCTGTATTGATCAACTGGGCATCCATTAAGCACAGGGCCAAACTGATGGCCAAAGTTGTTTATGTTTCCCTTGCATTCCAAAGCCCATACTCTGAGCCACTTACTTTATCTAACTCTCACAGCCTAAGCCAATATTTCCCCTCCCCTAAATCAACCCAGGGCCGGGTAACTAGGGACAAGCCCCTATGCTCAAAAGCCTGCCAGAATTATTCAGACTAGCCAGTCCTAAACTGCTTCCATTGCCCTGCCTTGCCTTTCCCTTGGAAGCCCCAGCAAAGACTGTGGCCTATGCCTTCCCCTTGCTCCTTTCTGCCTCCTGAGTGACACTGGTGCTTCCCTCTGTGGCTGTGCCTCTTGTTTCTAAGGGAACTATGAGTAACATTAAGCTTTTCTTTCATTGACCTCTCTGTGTCCTCACTCAGCCATCTTGATAAATTAAGACCCAGGCACAAATCAGTAGGATGTTCAGTTCCTGAAGTGGTCTGGGGCTTAGAGATTGGAGTTAGAGATTTGTTAGTTGTCAGCATTTTGATGGTGTATTAGTTCGCGGGGTTGCCATAACAAAGTATTAATACTACAAACTGGGTGTCTTAAACAACAGAGATTCATTGATTCACACCTCTGGAGACTAAAAGTCAAGATCAAGGTGTCCGTAGGGTTGGTTCCTTTTGAGAGCTATGAGAAAGAATCTCTTTCATGCCTCTCTCCTAGCTTCTGGTGGGTTGCGGGAAATCTTTAGCATTCCTTGGAATGTAGAAACATCGTCCCAACCTCTGTTTTCATCTTCACAAACACCTTAGTCTGTTTGTGCTGCTATAACAAAATATTACAGACCAGGTAATTTATAAATAACAGAAATTTATTTCTCACAGTCCTGGGGACCGGGAAGGCCAAGATCAAGGCACCAGCAGGTTTGGTGTCTAGTGAAGGTCTGTTCCTCATACGTGGTGCCATGTAGGTGTCCTCACATGACAGAAGGGACAGAAAGGCAAGAGAGAAAGAGGGGCAAACTCTCTCAAAAGCCTCTTTTACAAGGGCATTAATCCAGTCGCATCCCCAAAGGCCCTACCTCTTAATATCACTGCAATATGGGTTAAGTTTCAACCCATGAATTTGGGGGGCTGTTCAGACCATAGCAGTGTTCTTCACAGCTGAGCGTTACCACTCAGGAAGAGTTCACCCAGACACCCCAATATATGTACTGCTAATGCCCTGTACCGCCCCACATGTAGACAATCAGTCACGCATCGGCCATGCCCTCTCAAGCCCACACTGTCATGCACGATGCCCCGACTGTATCACAGGTTCCTCGTACACACAGCCACGTATACCAGCCACAGTCACACACAGCTTACAGTAAGTTACATCGTGTTTTGTCACATATATCTGGGTCCCTCAGGTAGAGCCTGTGACACCCACGGCGTCACCACAGTTAAATGTGCTCCTCATATACACCAGCCTCACCATCTGTCTCTCTAGTTTTGTCTGTCTCTGTCTGTGACACACACACGCACACACACACCAGCCTCGCCATCTGTCTCTCTGTGTCTGTCTCTGTGTGCGTCTCTCTCTGTCATACACCCCCACCCCCAGCCTCATCAGCTGTCTCTCTGTGTGTCTCTGTCTCTGTGTGTTTCCTTCTGTCTCTCTCTCTCACACACACACACACACACACACACACACACAGCCCGTCCTCCGGGGTTGCGGAGGGCTGGGCGGCAGAGGAGCGCCCTCCCCGCGGCGGCTGGCGCTGGCTCCAGACTCTGCCCGGGCCAGGGCGGCGGCTGCAGCCGGGAGGGCGACGTGGAGCGGCCACGTGGAGCGGCCCGGGGGAGGGCGGGCGGCGCAGCAGCCTCAGCGCCCACGAAGCCGGAGCCCAGCCCCGCGCGCGCACCGCTGCAGCAGGTGGGTCGGCCCCCGCCCGGGGCGGGCACAGGGCTGGGCGTCAGACTGAGCCCATCGCCGCCGGCGCGGGGACCGCGGGGCGAGGTGGCCTCCTGCCTCCGGTCCGGCTCCTGAGAAGCACAGTCCCTTGGCGTCCCCGCGGCTTGGACGCGGCCACAGCGGTGGCCCTGGCCTATGGGCACGGCTGGGGAGGAGGTTGCCCCGAGGGCAGGTAGAGCCAGGGGACTGGAACGCGAGTCCGGAGCCCTTTGGTTTGATGCTGGGGTTTCCCAGTTCCCCAAGCCCGTTTCCCTCCAGTATAGCATTATTGTTCCAGCAGCCCTGGGGGGAGGGGAGCTGGCCTGAGCTTCATCCCCATCGGACAGAGGAAGACAGGAAGGCTTGGGGAGGCCCCAGGTCACCATCTAGCTGGAAGTGGCAGCGCGAGACCGGCTCCCAGGTGTGGGCTCCTCCTCTCTTGGTGGGGAAGGGGGGATAAATGAAGGGAGAGGCTTCAGATGGAAATGACTTCCCAACAGTTAGACTCAGCCAGAAATGGAACCCATGGCTTGTGAGGTGCTAGGCTGCTGTCCTGGAATGACTCAAGCGGAGGCCGAATGGCCATTTGACAGCGATGCCGTGGACGAAATTTTTCTGCACTGGATGGGAAGTTAAGGAGATAACCTTGAAAGGCCCCTGTCACATCCTAGACGCTCTGAAATACCCAAGGAGCATCTGCTTGCTGCCACCACTTAACCTACATCGTCTCATTCATCCTCCCACACTCCTACAAGAAAGGTACTGTTATCCTCATTTTTAAAATGAAGATCCTGGGGCTCAGAGAGGTAAGGACACCTGCCCACAGCACACAGTCAGCAGTGTCAGAGGCAGGATTTGATCCACTTGTCTAACCCCAAGGCCAGGCTCTCCCCTCCCCTGCACTGGTGCAAAGGCTTGAATTAATCTGAGGCCAGAGGGTCATTGTTAAGCTGTGCATATGATGTGACTAACTTTATTGAATTACATCACAACTGTTAACTAACAGTTATAGTGGCTTTCATGTGTTTATTAGGATGATTATGTTCTTGCACATTATAGTAATAGTTATAAGAAATGGTTAGGGACATTTTTATTTGGCAGGCAGTGGTTCCATAACTATTTTATTTCTATTGCTTATAAAAGGTTTTGTAAATGCTTAGAAATGTGTAAGTGCGAACAAATCACATTGCACCAACATCACTACACATTACATGAGATGCTTTAGCCTGACTTTCTTAAATAATTGTGGTGGGTTACTCCTACTAAAAGTGTCACTGTTGGAAGCATTATATAAGAGATTATTACACTAAAAGTCCACGTGCAATTATTTAACTTTCTGAAGTGAACTACAAGTGAATGCCAAGGTTGTCAGGAAGACCCAGAATATTTCAGGTTGAGGATGGAGCAGGTTGGGCAAAGGCACTAAAAAGTAAAAGTGAAAAGTATTTTAGGAGACTCCAGTAGCCTCTCTGAAGCAGAGTGTTAGTGTAACAGAGCAATAGAAGGTCAGTCAAAGGTAACTTGAGATCTGATTGTAGAAGGCCTTGCATGCCCAGGTAAGGACTCTGGACTAACAGAAATTGGAGCCATTGAAGGTTTTGGAGCAGTGAGGTTCTAGCAAAGGAAGATTTATCCAATGTGAGTATTGAGGGTTCTTTAAATAGAGAAGATACCAGAGGCAGAGACAATGGTAAAAAGCTACAATATTAGTATGTGCGAGAAGCAATGCATTATCCTCTTACTATTCACTGTAACCCTGGAAGGTAAATATTATCTCCAGTATGTAGATAAGGTAGCTGAAGTTTGGTGAAGATAATTAATTTAGCCAAGGTCACAGGGGCAGTCAATGATGGAGCTGGGATTTGAAAGTAGGTCTGGCTGGTTTTGAACCTCCGTTCTTTGTCCACTAAACATACTGAATAGTTACATATGTGAGGGATACTTAGGGCTAAGAGAAGAAGAGTGATAATAATTCCTGGTGATAGGGCTCAGGACCAGGTACATAATTTGCAGGGCCCAGTACAAAAATGATTGAGAGTTTCAAGACAGTGACAGCAGAGCATTAGACTAAGCATCAGGCCCCTCTGAGAGAAGGGCCCTGTGTGACATCTATGAAGCCAGCCCTTGCAGGATTGGCCTTCCAATGACTACGGCAACTTAACAAACCACCTCAAAACTTAGTTGCATAAAAGGATATCGTTGACTTTGCTTGTGAGTGCAGTCTGGGCAGGGCTGTGGAAACAAGCACATTTCTGCCCCATTCAGTGATGGTTGGGGCAGCTTGGAGACTGGAGTTGGAGTCATCTGAAGGTTTGCTCCCTCACTTGTCTGGTCATTGCGCTGGGAAGATTTGAGCAGCTGGAGGCTCCTCAGGCATCTCTATCTCTGTGTTGTTCCTCCACATGGTCTCTCCAACATGGTGGCTTCAGGGATGCCAGACTTCTTCCATGGTGGCTCAAGTCTCTAGAGATGTATGTCATAGCTCACTGCAGCCTTGACCTCCTGGCTCCAGTGATCCTCCTGCCTCAGCCTCCCGAATAGCTGAGACTATAGGTGTGCGCTACCACACCCAGCTAATTTTTTCTCATTTTTTGTAGAGACGGAGTCTCGTTGTGTTGCCCCGGCTGGTCTCGAACTCCTGGCCTCAAACAATCCTCTGTCTCAGACTCCCAAAGTGCTGAGATTACAGGTGTGAGCCACCTACCATGTCCGGCCTCATTCTTTGGAGTTCACAGATGCCCTTGTTTTAAAGGCAACTGCTAGTGGATGATAACACATTAATCCTGGATGATATGTTTTGACAGCTCCGAGGGATTTAAATGACTCCAGTGCCTCCTGTTGGCCTAGGTCCTGGCAGTGAACAGATGGGGAGGAGAAAGCTATTTGACGGGATCCAGGTGGGAAGACCGGGGGTGGGGGTATGTGTGAAGCCACTGTAGAGTGGTCCAGGACAACTTTTGGAAGGAAAAAGGCCTTATTGTATACCAGGCCCTGCACTTTACACATCTCGTCTCACTAAGCCCTCACCACAGCCCTGCAAGAGGTGCTCTCGTCAGCCCCTCAGCCCCACGTTACAGATGGAGAACCGGAAGCACAGAAGAGTCACACAGTCAGTGAGTTGCACAGCCTGGCTTTGAACTTAGGCAGCCTGAGGTTAGGGCCCATACCCTTAAACTTTGGGCTATACCACCTATTTCTTAGCAATCCTGTGTTTCTCTATTTTTCTCTTATTATAACTTTGTATCTTTTCCTACTTATATATTTGCAAGCTTTAGGGGGAACAAGAATACGTAACTCTACCTTAAGCTATCAATTTACTGATAAGATAGTGCCTCACATATAGTAGGTGCTCAATAAATATTAAGGAAATGAGTAATGTTTATCCCTATTCTACAAACTTATGTTTGTAGAGTTTTTTTCATCATTTTTGTATTAATTCCTAGTCTACTTGCATTTTGGTCATATAACAGTATGAGACTAATTCTTTGATATTCATTGAGCCATGTTCTCTGGTCTATTAGCTATCAGTTTTTACAAATATTCTGTGTGTGCTTGAGAAGAATATGTATTTACTGCCAGGTTTGGTGGCATATGCCTGTAGTTCTAGCTACTTGGGAGGCTAGAGTGGGAGGATCACTTGAGCTGAGGAGTTCAAAGGTGCCGTGAGCTATAATCATGCCACTGCACTCCAACTTGGGCAACCCTGTCTCCAAAAAAAAAAAAAAGAAGAAGAAGAAGAATATGTATGTAATTGCTAAGTTGCTAAGTGACCGAAGTAGGGTTCTATACAGATTAATTAGCTCAAGATTAGCTACATTCTTACAAATTTTTAGTCTGCTTAATCTTTCAAATACTGAATGAAATATGTTAAATTTTCTCACCATAAAGGGAAGATTAGGTTTTTCTTCCTTGTAGTTATGCCTTTTTTTTTCCAGGTATTTTGAGGCTATGTATTAGATGTACATGAATTCAGAATTATTATAATTCTGCATCTTCAAATCTACTTGGTCATTTTATGCCTTCTTGTTTCTTTCTCATAATTTCACACTTCCCTGTAATTTCTTAAATCATGTTAAATATACCTACTTTATATTCTGTGTGTTGTACTTCCAACTTTTTTAGTTTTTCCAAGTCTAGCTTTGTAAGCAGTTGTTTTGCTGGCTCTTACTCACAGTGTCCTTTTTCCTTGTATGTTTATAACTTTTTGCCTGTGAGTTCATGTTCCTTGAAACTTTACCTATGGAAATTCTTTGAGGCCTGATTTGGAGTTGAGTGAGAAGACGTATGTTTTCCTCTGTCAGTCATCTGAAGATTTTTTTCTCCCTTCTATGCAGGACCAAGGTCAAGATAGGCAAGATTCTTTGCTGCCCTTCTTCATGACAAATTTACTTTTTGTTTACCCTAATATTGAGAGTATGCTGCTTGGAATCCCAACTTTATGTAGGGAATCTCCTATTAGTTTCTTCACACTGGGCGGGCCCAGGCTTTATCTCTGGTCTCCTTCACTGCGCAAGCACTCAAACCAATAGCTCAAGTTCACCTGGGTTTGGTTTGGCAGATACTCTTAAGGTGAAAGCTGATGGCAACCTCACTTTTTCCCCAGATTACCATTTTCACAGTGCTTTTGTACTTTGGAGAATTTCTTGCCAATTCAATGCTTTTGAAAAAATACTATTTTTATCCAGCTTTGTAGTTACTTTCACTGGGACATGTCGCTGTATGTCGCCCAGACATGCAGGGAGGTCTGGATGTTTTTCTAGTTCACTATTTCACTGGGCTTTGTCCCTTTGAAGGTTGATATGGAGATCTCAGTTCCAACTGCCTACTTTGAATGGGCCCAAGACCTTGTCCTCTCTCCTGGGCACAGCTAAAACCCAAGGGTCTATGTTGCCAGCCAATGTTGGTGAACATCTTCAGGGCAGCTATGGCTTCAGCATCCTTTTGGCCACTGGGGCTATAGATACCAACAAACTATGCATACT